TGTTTAAAAAAAAAATTCATCCACAACCTGTGACATATTCCAATTTGTTCTACTTTTCTTCCACTTATCTGTTCCCTGAAAACAAATTCTAGTTACAGTACCGATGCACATCTCTATTTGGAGTCTGGGATCCTTTGTTAGATGCTTTATTTGTTTCCTAAGAACATGTCCTGCATTAGTTTAAGGAAACAAGCAGTTACAGAAAGTGTGATCCAAGTTACCTTAAATGTTGGGGGGTTTTTGTCTGGTTTTGTGTTTGGTGGTTGGTTTTTTTTTTTTAAGATGAAGCAAGCTGTCATCATGAAGAGAAACGAGTATCTATTTTTCCAGTCACTTATCCTAACAGTTTTAGGCATCTAAGTTCTTCTCCAGGGCAGATGATTCAACAGAAGAGCACGCACAGAGAGAGACTGAGGGTCTTACTATTAACATAGCACATAACAACAGGATTTGGAAGATTCAGCTAAACAAGAAAACAATAATTTCAACCCATGGTCACTCTAGAAAAGAAACATTGCTTGGGGTAGGTGAATTTCAAGATATCTGAAATATATGCAAGCTAGGTAGATACATGTTACATAAACAGAAATATATGCATGGCCTATTACAGGATTAAAATTCATATTAAGTCCTTCCAGTAAATTACCTCACCTGCATCTTCAGTTTTTCCAGCTCTTGTGTTTTACCCAGCAACTCCTCTCGATATTCAGCAAGAAGAATCTGAAATTTGTCATGTACAGTCTGCTTTTCAACCAACAACCGCTTCAGTTCATCTTGTGATTTTGTATATTCCTCCTGCAATCTGCAAGACAAAACACATATTTATATTTACCCTCTAAAATTAGATCTTACAGCTCAAAAAACTCACATGCAGAAGTAAACATGCAAATACCAAGTTAGAACTAAGCTACTAATATCCTCTTCCTGTAATATACTGAAAGGTTATCCCATATTTACAAGCATGAAAAGTATTGCAGAAACATAATCTGCAATGTCTTAAGGTATTTTGAATAGTTTATTTTCTAATATGAACAACACTCAAATGTGTCCTTGAATACAGAAGTAGCTAACATACACACAAATCCCTTCCACCTAACATTTAGCTTCACCTTTTAACAGCTCAAATGAAGAAACCTGTTCAAATTAGTGTACCTTAGATGTTCCGCCTTTATAGTTTGATAATTTGCTTTATGGTGTTCACATCGCATTTTTTCGTCAATCAGAAGTTTTTGTAATTCTTGTGAATTAGCCGTATCACCATTTCCAACCACGGGAGGAAGCAGACTGCCCAAAGCATCCATTTTATGATGACTGTTCACGATGAGTATGGATAGGACAAAATAAAAATTAACTTATAACTAATCTACAACGCCATCCACTTTTTCTGCTGACATCCCAGAAGATCAAGTTACCTGAACAAATACAAGGACATGTAATTAGCAATCAAGTACATTCACAGTTCAAATATTTCACATGGTGCTTTTGCTTTCAGTACAGAAGAATCCTAGCTCCGCTGTAACTCAGGTTAGAGGCCTCTACTGAAAGGGCAACTCTTCTCTGCTTATTCTGCCTGCCCTAAAAAGTAATAGCCCTTCCAGAGGCACAGAAAAAACTTAAACATGGAGATCATTTGAGTCAATACAAAATAAGCACAAGCACTTCTATCTGACAGATTACATGAAATGTTATTTTTACTTATGCTGTATGCTGAGAATCAAACGATGATGCTAGTAATGCCCTAATTATGCCTTGTCAACCAGAGGCCACAGACATCAGACACATATAGCTCTTACTACTACTTATCACAGTCACACAGCCTGTCATTGTACTACTCAATACACCATCGTTTCAGCTGGAAGAAGAGCAAATAATTCTCACTGTTGAATTCCTGTCAAGTCCTCTCTGGAGAAGAGGTAATGTTTCGTGGACAATCGGGAAGATACCTGCCCAAAGTTCAGCCCTGAAATACATCATTGATACATGTCACTTCCTCCTTTTCAGTTTATCTTGTGGTTTCTTGTCACTTCCCCAGAAAGAGTTTTGCTAAATGTGACAATAGCAGATTGGTGTGAGAAAGCTGGAAATTGACAGATGCTGAGAAACAAGGAAGTATTCTAATATGCATCATTAGTTCTTTTTGATATTAGAAGCAAGGCCTATTAATCTGATCATTACTGATAGATCCAAAGGATCTGGGGGAGGGAGAACTGTAACTGAATTTTAGGGAAATTACAAAGCTTTGAAACCAGCTACTCTGCCATTTTAGCTTTTGGCATAACTGGACTGATGCCTGAGAATGCCATGGTTGCAGTGTACAAAGCGTAATTCAAAGTTACAAAGAGTAACTTTGTACAAAGTAAAACTCAAACAGGAAAAATGTTAAATCTCCACCATCGCTGCAGATACCTCACCTTCTTTACACACACAGTTGTATATATAATGTTTTCTACCATTCCACTCTTCAAATCTTTCATGGATCTATCTTAAACACTTATAATTTGATTTTATAAACCCCTGAACTATAAGCAAGATGAAAATCTATCTTCCATATAAGAAAATAAATGCCCATTCCACTAAAAGACATAATAACGTCAAGAAAGTCTTACGTTTAAGGTTTCTTTCCCATTTTTCCTTCCTCCATCACCAAGATGGGAAAAGGCCAGAGGAAAATCTACCAGAGTTACAACACCAATATAGGCAAAGCGACAACAGCAACTTTGTTCCCTGCTTTGCCCATGCTTGCTGAGAGAATAAGGGGAAAGAAATCAGAATAAAGAACATTCTCGTCGTTGACTGCCCTATCTGCATAACCATTTTCACACATTAATAGCACAAGTTCTGAAGAACCATTTAATCACCACAGTACCTGGTTTTCATTCCTGAATTTTTTTCCTAAGAATTTCTAAGCATACCAGCAGGGTTATGGTGATCACTGGGGAAGGAAAAAAAAAAACAAAACACCCAAACAAAAAAAAACCAAAACAACCAGCCACCAGGCAATAATATTTTTCTCTGTCTCAGGTCTTTGCTTTCATAAGCTACAGATACCAAATGTTACTATCAAACTGTAAGCCGAAGCTCAGAATTGGAAACACAGGATTTAAAGTCAGGTCTGATCCTGCAGCTTCCTCGAGTATGAAGTGTTTCTGAAGTGACATAACAGATATAAAGTCAAAGACACCAAAAAATCATGGTGTTTTCGGAGAGCATATCAACCAAATGAAGAAGATAAATGGAAATGCAACCTTTTGTACTCTCAATTCCAAGCTGCTGCAGGTGAGAAGTATATTCTCTCCTCGCAGCTTTTGCTACTATGAAAAAATGCACAAATTACAAACGAAGATACACACCTGGTCATGTATTCATCTGCATGAATATTTCATTAAAACAAAAGGAAGGAACAGAGGGGTAAAAACTGTAGCTTACAAGACAATTGTTTAAGACTGCAAAAACATAAACTGTATCTATTTAAGGAAACAAAACTATTTTGGCTGGCAGGGACATCTAGTGGCAAATTTCATGATTTGCATTCCTGGTGACAACTGTGAAACAAACTACAATAACATGCAGATTTCATTACTTCATGAAAGCTCTCTCCTTGAAACCATGGATAGCAATTTGTAATATTTACCCTACTCACATTGTTACAAAAAACTCCCCCAACACTTTCTCACCCCCCAATCATAAAATAATTCCTGGCAGTGAACTGTCAAGAGTTAATATAATTTAGGGCTACAAGTATTCTAAGTATGTACTAACTAGAATATCTTCTGTGCTAGTAGCTTAAAATATTGCTTACAGTCACTGAACAGACCTTAAATAATGAAAATTACAACAGACTACTCCCATAAATACTTTAAAGAAACACTAGTTAAAATTTCTTCTTCTCCTAGAGATCTGTTCAAGATGCAGAGAACCATAAAACATACATTAAAGAAACTAAAACCACATCATATTTAAAATTAATTCTCCACCTATATATTTGCCAAATTTTATAATGTTACAGAACTACAAACTTGTATCAGTTGCCCCGAATTCATACTATGAAATCTTAACATCATTTTGTGCAGGTATACATATAAAGGTATTGGTGCAGAGTCCTGAAACCTAGGAAATGCACACTCAGTAGCTAAAATAGCAATATTTATTGTAGAATATCTAGCTAAGTGAAGTAATTCAATTACATTTCCAAGAATCACCTTTGTTTGACTTTCTTCTCCAATTGTTTATTTCCATACAGAGAGAAACATTGCTTAAAGACCTACTTTACATCTCTCCTTTATATCTACACATCATGAAAGGGCTTTTCTTCCTTTACAAGATTTTTCAGCTATACTATTTTAACATTTTGTTTACTATAAGCACTTCAAATCATGAGAATACTTGCATTTAGAGACAAATATGAAGATATTAATATCATTTTGTTTATTTATATTACAACTTTTATTTTTATTGTATATTGTTTACAACAACAAGGCTTCCTTCTAGCTTACTTGGCATAACTGAATTCCATGATTTCAACATATATTGGTAATTCACCTGGGTGACATATGTAACTCACTCGTGGCTCTGCTGTCCATACTGCAGCCACACTTAAAACACGTAAATTTATTATATTTGAACACTGTTTTAAACAACTAGATGATACAATGAATGTGATTTTGTAACTATTGATGTAAAGTTAACAGTACTTAGCCTTGTGCCATGTTTTGTTCAAGCAGTAAAATTCTCAGTAAAATCTGTAGAAAGCAAAACAGCTGTTTTACACAATGTATGATTTAATCCATTTGCCTGCTTCTGTCAGAACTCTAGACATCTTTATCTGCTCTTTCTTTTCTTTTTTTCTAATCAAATCAGCCAAGGTCTTGTGAAACAATGAACTAATTGCCTGAAAGAATATGTGAGACACTCAAAGGAAGCACGACCTCATGAAAGTGACTCTTCTCATTGCTGCTTAAGAGTCTACAGCAAGACTAGATAATGAACTAAGGAAAAAGTGTAATCCAACACAAGAGCTCACTGTCACCAGGAATGGGAGGTTCCACTCCTTTCTTCATCTGCATTCCTAGAGTAGTTATTCATCAGACTCTCTCAAGAACTGATTTAACTCAAGAAGCCAACACACTTAAACAAGCAGAAAACACTCAATCTCAATAGTTTTCCTGCGAGGTCAGTGAGTCACACTAGCTCATGGAAAAGTCCAACAGGCTACATCATCAGTGAAAGTAGGCAGCTAGAACTGGCTAGGAGAAAGGAACAAAGAGGCAAGTAAATAGGCAGGAGGAGGAGAAAAGCTTTCTCCTTTCAGGAGCAGAGAGTTGTCACATCATGAGCTCAGATGTTCACTAAATCACAGCCTTGGACTAGATAACTTTGACTGTCTAAAACATAGGTAAGTGAAATAAATCCTACCTTAAATGATGATGCAACACACTCATGACAGATCAGACTTCCCATGAACATCAAGTTAATAAAAAACAAAACAAAATTATATATAGTTCGAGAAATAAGATAGCATACCTCTCATTACTTTAACAGTCCATATTTTACTAATTCACCATCAGTAACTTGTAATAGCCAAAGTAATCACCTTAAAAAAAAAATTCGGGGGACACACACACACACACACACAAAGAGAAACATGAAAGCCTTTATTACAGGAAGTTCCATAATCTGGATACTACTCAGATATCACTGTAGAGAATCCAGTGAAAATAAACACTTAATACTTTTGCATGCCTAAGTGCAGAAGTTTTGGAGAACATCTGTGTCACTTCTACATTCTAGAAGACATCAATCTCATTCAAACTACTAACATTTCCTCCACAACACTGTTCTAAGTACAAATTCCCACAACAATTAAGCATACATTATTTCAGTGTCCATCCCAACACATGGCACACAGTGTCTTATACTACAGCTACGGTTAATTGTTGGGTGAAAAGCAACAAACAGGGTTATATCTTAACTCAGGATTAAAACACTTTCTTCAGCCACATACTCTACTAAGTCAAACTGACAGCAGTTACTGATCAAACCGAAATTTTGTATGGGAGCTACAGTTGGTAAATCTAGCTGTACTCAAAAACAACTATTCTACGTATGCCACATATGTTTTCCACTGTTTCCTCGTGACAAGAGACCTTCAAACACACATGAGAAATTTTTGCTCACTAGACTCTCATCCAAAGTTTCACTTGTGCATACAGATGGCTGGCTGTCACAAGGAGCTCTATAGTCCACAAACAAAACTCTTCTGAAAAATCACTTCCCTTTCAAATTGACTTAAGAGATGTTCAGA